TTGTTCACAGAGAATCAAATGTGCTCCAAGCTTGGCTCTTTATACAGATGTGACCAGTGTTCAAGTCACACAACAGAAAATGTCAAGCATCACAATCCAAAAACAGACTCCTGGTTTTCAGCGCAGGTTTGGAAAGTGTGAGGAAGTGTGAGCACATGTGTGTTTCTAACTCATTTGTAAGTGGTGTGAACACCTCACAAGTCTTCTGACAGTCTCTCTTTAGGCCCTAGTTTAGGTTGCTGGGATTTTGCTTCTCTCTGCTCACCTTGCACCTACAATCCCATCCCAACGAGGTGCTCGTGTGGTGGTTTCACTAGGATCTCCAGTCACGGAAGCCTGGGGTCAGAAGATGTGGTCTTCCAGAGACTGGGCCGAGTGTTCCTATGCAGACGGCGGTGGAGTGGACCCAAGACTACCTGCAGGATCTCAGCTCAGATGCCACTATTTTATGCTTTTCTGATAAGTCAGTCTCTGACTTTGTAGAATTGCTCTCATGAGTATAGGAATCAAAAGCGAAAGCACCCCAAACTAAAGTGGCTTGTACTTCTTCAAACCAAAGGTTTTAAAACCTCCAGACTAGTTCAGAGTTTCTCTGATTTTTTGGATACAGCAGTTTTGCCTTATATGCTAAGGCTCTGGGGTTTATGACATACTGCTCCTGACTCTTACACTTGAGAACAGTGGGACTTTTAGGTGGGCCATATAAACAGCATTCATCTCTAAAGAGAAACCCTAACTCTGTGCTCAGCAAATTTATGATAAGTTTAATTTCAAAACTGTAAGTTAATAGTGATTTGGAAACCAGAGACACTGACTCAGTATTCTGTGCCCCTCTCTCCACTGGAAGGAAGGTGCATGTATGCAGGAGTTTATTGACTGCTGTCCCCAAAGTGCCTGGCTACGGTGGAGGTACATTAATTGTTTGGTAAAGTTACTTCCACTGTGTAGAAGGCAGAGGCCAAAAATCTTACTGAATACTCACGGCAAGTCCTTCATGCACCCTGAAGAGCCTTGGAAGGGACTGCACTGGGGCTGGTCCCTTTGTCTGTCCAGCTTCATTCTTCTTGTGAGTTTCTCTTTGAATCTTGGCTCACTTGTCAAAACCAGGCCAGTCCCACTCCCAGGTCTGTTCCTGGTCCAGTCCCCAGCAGAATTTGGCAGGAAGTCACTCGGAGGTCCTGTCAGCTATTGTGGGGGTGGAATGCAGGCCAGGACTCCTGAAGGCTCATCCGAATTTCCAGGGAGTGCTGGAAGGCTTTTCACGAGTGCCCCATAACCTAGCTCACAGGAATTTGAAAATAAGAAACATTTCACATAAAATCTTTAGCACATAAGTGATTTGTTAAAAGATCTACAGTGACTGCCTGCTATCTTTTCTTCTGTGTGATCAACTTCATTTTCTTTGGGTTGGATATGCAGGCCTCTCAGCCCAGAAACTTGAGTCCTTAGGATGGCTTTCAACAGCCCTCTATGTGTGTGGCAGGGCTGGGCCAGGGACCTAGGCCCACAGCTCTAGTTGCGCTCGCTTGCACAATGGCATCTTGAGAGGTGGCCTAATGACAGGAAAGAAGGGAATGCTCCCTAACAGCCTAAGCCTCCAATGCAGGGTTCCTAACCCACAGAACTCAAACTCAGACAATGGTCTGAAGTGTCTGATTATGCTCACCACACTGTATATTTTTTAATCTTTGGGGTATTACATGCTAAATACCCTGACTTTTTTTTTTTTAACAAGCAAGCTGCAACCCTGAACACCAGGTACTTTGATCTTGGAACACTCAAACTACAAACCTGAGTTTTCTGGCTGTTATGGAAAAAGACAGACCAGGAACAGATGTTAGAGCCTTTTCTGTGTTCTTCTAGTTACTATGTTGCATTGCCCAACTTATAAATAAGACAAATGAGTAGAGAAGCACAGAATCAGTCACATGATAAATCAATTCCAGTGGCAAGTAAATGGCAAAAAAAAATTGTTGAGGGCAAAGCTGGTATTATTTCATACTGGTCCTGAGTGCAGGTCTTCCTAAAGCCAACAAGAGGTCCAGCACATGAGGCCTAAGCTAAAGGCAGAAATGGTTATGTCAGACCATCACCTTCTCCTGGAGATCTCCAGGATCTTGGTCCCTGGAACTGTGTGACGAAGGACATTATCACATGTAAGGCCTGGCCAGTGGTCCTAAGAACATTAGCCAAGTGATCAGGGCTCTCAAACAAAAAATATGGCAACCAGACAGGACCTTCAAGTTTATAATATTTCTCAATTCACAATCACAGTTGGACTATTCGGCTTCTCAGGCCTGTTTTTCTCCCCTGTAAAATGCAAAGTTCTGAAACAAAAAAGTTAAGTCTCATACAGTTCTTTGAAAAGACACAAGTCATCACAGACTATTTACGGCACCCACAGGTCTATCCTTAACTGTTCTGATGGAGGTGGTGAAGAAACCTTGTGTGGATCTTAGTGGGGGTGGGTGGTTTTGGACCACGAGTCCTAATCTGAAATCTCAGCTCTGACTTTAACATATGACCTCGAACAAGTTCTCTAAATATTCTAGTGGATCCAGTTTGTTCTCTAAAATAGGCTTATGAGCTCACAGAGTTGTAACAGCAATGAAGCAATGTACCAGTGGTCATTAATCTTTTTTTTTTTTTTGTGGTGTGAGATTGTAATGCAGGGCCATGTGTTCCAGCTCAACATTCTATCACTGAGCTACATCCCCTTGTTGCTCAGTCCAAGTTCACACATCATCTTAAGTTAACTATTGAGAAACCTCAAACAGGCCTTGGAATGCAGGGAACATAAATGGTATCAGATAAACATGCAGTTCTTTACACTTTATCTGAAAGATTTCTGCGTCAGCTCAGTGTGACTGCATCTGGAAACAAGCTCTTTAGAAGTGACTGTTATTGAGTTCCTAATGGTGGGGTCTTAAGATTGTGCCACGTAAGGGCACAGTGAGGTGGCGGCATCTATTAGCCTGAACTCCCTCATCTGACTTAACTGTGCGATGTTCTCGTCTGAAATTTTCAACCTCCAGGAAATGTAAGATAATCACTTTTTGTTGGTTTTGCCACCCAGCCTACGAGTTGCTTTTTAAAGGCAGCTGAGTTGGACTAATACAAGCCCTTAGTGGAAAATTTCAGGAAATAGCTACACCCTAATTGAACTCAGAGCCTGGAACATCACTTGACACTTACAAATTTCTAGTCATATCTTCTCCAATTCTAACCTTCTGGCGCTAGAAAGTAAATGTTAGGATGGCAAACAGGTTGGAGGAATGGGCATTCAGCCTGGCAGGTTACCAGCTGCACACCCCAGGCCGCCTGGCTGCAGGCCTTCCCAAGCACCACCCCGGCTGCACCTTCAGAATCCTTCAGTCGCCAGCACATACCAGCTTTAACTCTTGGGACTGCTCTCAGGACAATCCCAGGAGTCCAACAGCAATGATTATACTGATTTTCTAACTCTCAAAGCCAAATACTTCTCCAAACTTTACCCTCTGCCATCCAGTGTCTGATCATCACACTAAGAACTTAGCCGTGAAAGTTTCAGGAACAGAAGAAACCAGAACCATGGCTTCAAGCTGTATGATGAGAAGAACCAAGAAGCAAGCAGCCTTCCAGGGCCAAGTTCTGGGGTGCGGTGGGGCTGGCAAAGCTCGAGAGGCCACCCGCATCCTTCTCTTCCATCGCATTGGGGGTGTGCTGCTGGATTAATAGTTCAGGGCTTCAGCAAATACTAGTAGCCACATTAGTAGAGATGCTCATAATGGAGTACGAAACAACTGACCTGTCGGTTCACCTGTACCAACATGCAGGCTGGTGGAGGAAGTGAAAACCAGGGACCATATCACTGTGCCAGGAAAACTTGGTAACCCTGCTTACACCTCACCTTTCTAACAGGCTCGTGGAACTCACATTTTAAAATGTCACCTCTCCAAAACATTCTGCCAATTCCAAGTCACGCTATGTTTTTTGCCATTAAAACCTTTTTCCATATTAACAATTACCTGCACTTTGTATAAATCAACATTAGGCATGACTTCTATATACATGAAAACAAGTTTTGAATTCTTTATTGAACACCTACACGCCAGGCACAGATGATCTTTAACCCAAGATTCGTGGTGCAGTGTCCAGTTGTATCTTAGGGCTCTGTCGTTGTCTGATTTCTTATGTTCTACCCTAGATTAAGGTGAGTCAGAATCACCGGGTTTGTACTTTACATACATTTCCTGTTTTCCTCAGCTCCTTCCTAGAACTATACATTTTTAGGGTTTCCATTTTTTTTTTTTTTTTTTTTTTTTTTTTGGTGAGAGGAAGCTTCTTTCTGGGATTACTTATTTACTAGATTTAGAAAGTGATGCAGCCTTCATATTGTAACTGGTGACCATGAAGCGGTTCAAGGCCAAAACAACATTATCAAGACTTAGAAAGGATTGCATACTATTAGAGCAAAGAATACAAGCTTATTTGAAATTATAAGTATCAATCTCAAGCTTCAGAGGCCTCACAATTCAAAGTCCAACTTAACTCTACTTCAACAATATTTTGCAACAAGATGCTTTTAACAAAATCCTTTTAATTTTACTTATATTCATTCTATGGGAGGGCAGGTAAGAACTAAACTTTATATGATTTAAACATTATATAATTTCCTCTTTAAATTTTTGCCTTGGTATTAAAAAATAGTCTGTCCTCAATTCTTGGGAGCACCCCACGCATACCTGGGAAGGGAAAAAACCATTATGTGTTCATTAGAAGATTGGACCAAATGACCACTGCACTAGAAAAGCTAGTGATTGTTACATAATACTTCTCAGTTTTGTTGAGATCATTTTTAAAAGGTCCTGCTTAGGAAAAATCTGTTGAATTGAACTCCATTTCACCATAAAAATTGCTGTGTTTAAAGTACTAGTTATAACATTGAAAAGGAAATTAATTTAGTATAATTATCACTTTGATGTGATGTAGAGGGCAACGTAAATACACAAACTGTAGAATAGAATTTAATTTTATCTTTATGAAGTATTCTGAAATAAAAGATGGTAATACATGCATCAGGCACATTCGACAGAAGACTTTTACAATGGTTTACATTTCTTTTTTATTTATTCCTTGAAACTGCCCATATTGCAGGTTTTTCATGGGTGAAATATGGAACTGAGCAGATTCTTTTTTTCTACAAAATTATGGTATAAAGTTGCTCGATTTTCTATCTTTATTGCTAATAAACCTTACAGGCGCACAGTTTGTAAAATAAACCCCTTAAGGACTGACTGTGTAGAGCATGCTGCAAGGTATGAGAAGTAACTAAAAATGAGCATATAAAACTACATCTGAACCAACACAGTACTGAATGCTGGCAAACATTTATCACGACACAGGGAAAGATTAATGAAAGGCGATACAGTTCAGTCCTGAAAGGGTTAAGTAGAAACCCTAAAATATTATTGTTTCTGACCATCCATCCCACAGTATAGTGCTTATAAACAAGGTCAAAAGTCTAGCACAGAAAATTACACACATTTGTTCAGCATTCATCGGAAACACAGCTGCTTCTGAAATCAAAGTAAGTTAACTTGGTTAATAATTGAACAGTATTTTGTTTCAAAAGGGAGCCCCTCCCCCCACAGATTTCCTGGTTAACCTGACTAGGTTAGTTCTCAAAGATGGCAGTGGAATTTCCTGTGAGCTCACAGATGTACCAGTTTCACTAAACACAAAGGCAAAGGAACTTAACAGTTACGATGGCAAATGAGTCTGTACAGTGAGAAGAGACAAGTATTTCCCTAGTTCATTCTAGATGCAGATGCCTTTTGTTGCCACAGCAAGTTAAATACTGTGCTAGTGTTCAACTCTGAAATCATTCAAACCATAAAGGGCATTCTATTTTAGCATCTTTAGCTTGCCTTCCCAGTCTATGTGACAAATACAATGAAACTAGCAAAAATGCATTGGGTCACAAGCTCAACTTCTATTCCTACATTGAGAAAATGTATAGGATCATGAGAGAATGTGCTTCTAAAACAGATTTTTTAAAACATCAAAGATACTGTAAATAATCACTCTCCATTCTAGAGAATTGTTGTAAGAGCAGAAGACTGACATCTCTAATAATGCCAGCATGGGGAGGGGGGGACACAACTCTCCGAAGTTACATGCTGAGGCATACAATGATTCACAAATCCATGAAGATTTTTTTCAAAGCAGCTGACAAAATAACTACTGATGAACAATGAGCTACAATAGGTATTATTTCACTATGCAGTCTGTGGTATGAGAATGGCATCAGATGGAGAAAATGCTTACATTGGTACATTCCTGGATTTTTCCAAAAAAGAATACAGGAAAAGGGTTTATAGTCTTAACATTTCAACTACCTTATCAGAAAAAAATAAAAGAACCAAAATAAAATATAAACATTTAAAAGAACCAGAGTTCATTTTAATAAAGCCATGAACCTGAAAATTTATTTTGACCTAAAAGTTGAGTAAGCAAAGTTTGTTCTTCAAAAAGCATCTCAGTTGTTATTGGTTAATTTAATATGGTTTCTTAACTAAATACCAAATCAAGAAATGTAGGAAACTTGTGGCCCATTACAAAAAAAAAAAAAATCAAGCAGCACTGAGAACATTTTCACACTGAACAAGAAGCACTGTGTAATGACTACTTCCATGACTCAACAGAGAATAAATACTACTCAAATAAGCAAGTCTGCTAGTAACAGCCAGTGAGCAGTTACAACAAAGAAAGATAAGGCCACAATGCGTTCTGCCCTGAACACTGAAACAGAATTAAGGTGTGAGGCAGGATCTGATTCCCCAGAGAAGGGACTGAGCAGATCTAAAGAGAAAAGGCTATTTATAGTACAATGCAGCCTGGGGTGATTAAACTCGCAGTAAGAGAAAACTGCGCGAACTTTGATTTAACCACCTCACGTGTTTTACAAATGACTTTCCCCTTGAAACTGAGGAAAAGGCAATTTGAAGATGTGAGGAAAAGTATTTACAGTGGCATACTTTAAAGAAAGGAGTGATGAAGATGGCAAAGCTGAAAAAAAATGCTCCTAATAAATGATTTTTAAAGTCTATTAAAGGAAACTCCAGCCCAGGACACTAGCAAGACACTGGGAACACTGGAGAAGTTACAGTTTTGCATCCATAAGGTACTTGTGGCTCCTGTTTTATGGGACAGTAAAAGCTTACCACAATCTAGAGGTAGTTTTTACTCGAAGAAGGATGATTGTATCACTAGACTGTGTCCTACAACGTTACACACATAGTTACTGTACTCACGCTGCTCAATGAGTCTGCTGAGATTTCTAAGAAACTGAACAAAGGTGTAATGATCGAAGTGTGGGAATGGAAGCAAAACTGGCGAGACCACCACGCAAGGCTATGCACAGCCCTAAATGCAACCAAAACTTAATTGAAAGGAAAAGATAGACTTTCTAAGGAGGGAACATTTGTGGAGACACAGTACTGGGGAAAAGAGAATGAAAAAGGCAGAAGACAATTGGAAATATAAGTTACATTTGCATTTTTATAAACTTCCAACTGTCTGTTCCTAAAGTACTGTCCTCCAGCTATTCTAGCTGACCATCTAATAAAAGCATCTTATGGTTTAAGATTACAATGATGTTCTGGTGTAGGCAAAAAAAAAAAAAAAAAAAAAGAGTGAGGGGTAACAATAATACAACATATTTTGCTAAGATTTTCCTCATTCTACTGGAAGGGGACCATCTACCATTTCGTAGCAGGTATTTCTCATGATTTTTTTAAATCATTTTCCAACAATGCAGAAAACAGCTTGTTGAATAAAATCGCTGGGAGCATTCCAAGTTCAAAACAAAAAAATTTAACTTACACATTATACAATTTATATACAACATTAGGAGGGAGGGAAAACTGAACAAACCCTGGGACACAGATGATTATGTATGGGAAGGAGAGAGGACATTTCAAATATCAACGTATCCTGTGCCATTAACTCATTAATGACTACATGGCCACACTGAATTCCATGTGAATGTCAGCTTGGATTACCACTATAAATACATTAAAAAAAAAAAAAAAAGAAAGAAAACACAAATGACTGCCAACAGTGACTAAAGAAGGAGACTAAGTTAACATACATCGCATGTATTGCAGGCAAGGCAAAGGCATTGTCTTTAAAGCTTTTGCACAGACTTCATATAATCTTAAAAAAACATACGCAGGCCTTTACAAAATTTGACTTGCTGAAATCAGAACAATTTTAACTCATGAAAAGTCATAAGACTTCAGCTTTAAAAAAAAGTTCCAGCCTTAGACCAAAAGAACCTGGATGGGTATGGGAACTTATTCAACAAGCATGGTCAAGCCTGGAACCTAAATGTACTTCAGAGCAAAAGCTCAAAGAGGGCAGGGAGAACAACCTATTTGGTAACAAGATGTACTATATACTGTGATATAAAAAAAGGTATGGTGAAAATGTACCTTTTACTAATAAAGCTTATACAAGTTCCTTGGTCCATAAAAACTATGTTAGATTTGTGTCTTCTAGTTTGCTTAACTTTTATACCAGCCACATTATCTATTTCTTGCCCATTTAAGCAAAACCAAACAACCAACCAAACAACAACAACAACAAAACAGCTGAAAAACTCAAACTCCAATAATTTGTACATTTTGATTTCTGTTTGTTTGTTTTACTGTGGCTTCTGTATCTCAAATCAGCACTTGCAGGTAACGGGGTTTTTGAATAGTATTGCGTGGTATGAAAAGTTTTCCCAAGAAACCACAAAAGATTGTTCATTTTTTCTTTCCTTTTCAACAACTTTTTGCTGCACTCAGGTCAGTTTAAGTCCTAGCAAAAAAAACGGTGGTTAGGACACCACAGTTGCTGTAGATGATGTGACGCTGGTTGAATTTGTGCTGGCGTTTGTGTAACTTCCCTCGCTGTTTGTGTTTGATTCGCTGGGGGGCACTTGGCTTGAGTTGGCTCGAAGGATTGCTCCTGCTGCACTGCAGTGCGGCCTCGGCCCGGGTTCTGGTGTGTAGGTAAAGGTAAGGCTGGTGGAATAAATGATTCCATCATTTCGGACCAAAGTTACTGGAACCTGGACTGGCTGCCGGACCCATCTCCAGCCTTCTCGGAATGCAGAAATGTCTGGGACAACACAGAGCATGCTCTCTCCACATCTGAAGGGGAAACACAAATCATTTTTACAAAGCACTTTAAAATGTGAAGTATGTTCCAGAAATGAGACAACATTATTTAATGCACCACAGTGAAGCTCAGGAGACAATCTCAAGTACCCACAAGCCCTGCTCAAGCCTTGAGTGATATAAAAAGTTCTGTCCAGTACCTGTACATAGTTTCAGCTTCTACATCCCCAAACCACACTCGTAAATTTGGGGTGAAATTCTGTCCTGTGAGTTCAAGCATTGCTACATCCCCGCCGCCATTCAACTGCAATTAATAGAAAGTCACACTGAGACACTTTTCATGGAAGTAAAAAATTAGGTTCTCATTCAATTTTCATTTGTGACTACTTGTAAAAGTTTGCATTTGTAAACGTTTCTTTCAAATGGCATGATTACAAAGCTAGCTAAAAACATTTCCGATAAGTTGATTTAATTTTCTCACATGTAACGAAAATTGCTTATTCTCATTTTTATCAACAAATAACATGTAACAAAATCTCCCTGGATCACTACATTTGAAACAAAAATTAAAATTACTGTGAAATTAAATTATGCTAAGTCACAGCTGAGTTCATGTGCAAAAGCAAAAAGCAACCTTGTGACTTAGTGGTCTTACCTGAAGACTTTCTACCACAGGCACAGGGGTGACTGGGGCCAGCACTGGGCCCATTCCTTCATAAAATGTATACTCTGCCTTATCTGTGCTAATGATTGTCCACGAAGCGCCATCATTAATCATCTCTTTATTTGGTTCCTTTGGGCATGGAGTGGCCTTATGAAGAAAAGATGTTCAGAAACTGAGCTCTATACACATTACAGTGTAACAGAACTTAGCAAAGAACACTACACAGTTAACAAAAAGAGACTTTTGCAAAAACTTCCTAAATCATACTGCTTTGCCAATCGCTAAATAAATGTGAACAGAATAATACCAAAATTCCATGGATAGCAGTTTTTGTTATAAAATATTTCAGTGAAATATTAAATAACTAACAACCACTAATATTATACCATTACTGGTATAATTTTATTAGTATAAGATCATTATGTTAAATTTAAAATAGATGTTTAAAATTCTTCAGGGCTCCATAAGAAAGATCCCAGGAGTCCTGACTATTTAGAGAACAGCTAGATGCTAATCCACTCTGAGCTAGAGGGAAGGGAGACCTGTCAGCAAGCTCCTACCCTTGCTGTAATAAATCTGCACCGGAACCCAGCCCACCTGTGTCCAGATGAAAGCATCCCTCTGGAATGGGAGTTTATAAAGAAGTCATCTATGAAAACTAACCATCTCATCAAATTACATGACCATGTTAGAAATGTGAAAGGCTTCTAAACAAACACAGTTAAAATTTAGCATCTCAATCAAATCATTATTATCTCAGGAAACCCAATCTGGTGAGTATATAAACCCTCTCTCAGTAAAATGCTTTTTCAATGTGGCACATGCATACAAATTCAGCAGAGTCAACAAACATGTAGTTTTAGGTATTTTGGGGAGCCTCTGTTCCCCAGACCTGGAACCCTGGCAGCGAATGTTAACTGTTTCTTTGAGAACATAGTTTTGAGTTCATCCCTGAGGTAGGACCACCAGCACATCCAAGGACCATGTATGTTAAAGAGCCTTGGATGTGACATAAATGTCAGAATACAGCCTCATGTATTTGGATATAATGAGCTGCTAATCAAAGTCTCATGTTTTCTAATCCAGTCTGCAGGGTTCACTCACGAGCGAGCCCAGGACCTTGTGCCACTGAGCTACACACTCAGCCCTAGTTTGTATAAGTTTTACCAGTAATTGTAAAACCTACCTGAAATTGGATTATTCTTTCTTGAGAAAGGCACAAGTACATTCTTTCTGTATCCTTAAGGTAAAATGCACATTTATGTAGTTGTGACACGGGGTCGTCCGCATCCAATAATGCTGTCTGCTTATCAACCTTCCTAATTATCTGTATTTCAACAATTCAAAGATTAAAACAAAATAGTCATACACATAAGAAACTTTCATTTTGTATACTGTACACAGAAAGTATATGCTATAAAATAATATACCAGTTACTTTTATTATACCTAAGTAGAGACAGATATTTACAAAATAAAAACTTAGCTTGTAAGTACATCAGAATGTGACAGTCGTCACACTCTTCCACGAACTTCCTTAAAAAAAAACAAAAGGGATTTATTTTCTAAACCAGCATTTTTCAAACATCGGTGCATTTATTAATCATCTGGAGTTCTTGTTAAAAATATAGGCGCTGATGGGTCAGGCAAGCCGAGGTTCTACTGTCTAATAAATCCTCAGGTAATGTTAATGCTGCTGGTCTAGGGACCATATTTTGTGTAGCAAGTTCTGATAATTCTTCTGATAATATACAAATATTACACTATCAAAAAAGAAAAAAATCTTTTTGGGGGCTGAGGATTTAGCTCAGCAGCATAAGCACCTGTCTTGCAAGCACATAGTTGTGAGTTCGATTCCTAGTACAAAAATAAAAAATAAAAACTCTCTTGAAGGCTAAGGTTGCACTAGTCAGAGAAGATACATTACATAAAGTATTTATCTACCAATCTTTAAAACAAGAATAAATTAGTTTTGCTGATCAAGAAATGGACTCAGAGAGACGGGATAAATTGCTCAAAATCCCCAGATCAGAGCAAAGAACCAAAACACAATCCCAATGTTGGTTGCCTGCCCAGCCCGACCTCTTTCCATTATGCTCTACAAGTTCATAAGCCAAAGAATCCACAGAACACATAGTTATGTGAGAGACAGTACTAGCAAAGCTTAAATGACACTCAACATAGTGAAGTGACCACTAAACATGCTGGTGAGAAGGGCCAGATGTGATGCAGCACAACTGCTTTGACTCCGATTTCGCTTGTTGATGGCTCACTCCCACCAGCATGAAAACTGGTATAACTATTTCTCATCTGAAAATCAAGAGTAAAAAAATCCCTTCTCATGTTGCTGCCACTTCCTCTCACTCATCTTGTTTCTCTGCTCCTCGTGAGAGCACAGGCCTCTTCTGACTATCCCATCTTCTTTGGTCTCTCTGGCCTCTGTTGAAAGCACTTATTAAACCGTACAAAAGGTCACCGAGGACTTCCAGACACGTGAATCACACTCTGTCCCAACCTTTCTTTACTTCTCAGCAGTGTTTGACCTGGGGGAGAGTGAGGAGGCCCCCCTGCCTGACCTGTGTGCCATGCACAAATTCCACCACAGCCTAAACACACTTGCCAACGTAATGCCCTGCTCCACACCCCAAAACTGCGAATTCTCATGGAGCTTGTGAGCATCAAATGAATCTATGCACACAGAAGTGCTCACGACAGCGTCATTAATGCTTCTTAATACTATTAACTTTCATTACTTGATTTATGCCTCACTTATACTCTAAGATCATCTCATTTCACCTAATTCACAGCTGTTTAAAGCCCCCATCTTTAATGTTGTTCATATTTATAGTTTTAGGTTTATATAAGTTTTTTTAGTCAGAATATTTGTAATCCTACCAATAGCAATTTTACAGTTAAAAAGGAGACCTTAAAATTTTAGCAATTAAAATAGCCTGTGAGACAAATTAAACTGAAGCAGAACAATCAATACTGAAGCCTTAAAGTTGTATTTAAATTCAATGAGGCTTGGCTTTTAGAGAAAAAACTTGGGGGCCAGGGATTTAGCTCATAGGTTTAAGCACCTGCCTGGCAAGCATGAGGTCATGAATTTGATCCCTGGTTCAAAAAAAAAAAAAAAAACTTGTCATTTTTTTCAATGACCTAAGTCTAAAGCTTCTCTCTGTCTCAGGAGCACCCACTCACATGTCTCCCACTGCTATCCATGCGCCACACTATTTCCCCAGCAGCAGCCAGCCACATGGGCCCACTGAGATGGGTTCTTTGTTCCCCTCAACAGTTCTTTGCACACAGATACTAATGAATGACTTGCTATCACCAATAAACACAGATGTCCAAAGATGGCATAAAAAATTTGCTTTGATAATGTAAATATATGTATATATACCATATTTCAGAGGTTAAGTGGATACGACCCCTCACGACAGATAAAAAAATATGTTACTCATATTCTAAACATTCTACCTGCCAAGTAAACACTGGCTGAGTTTAACTTATTGGGTTGTTCAACCAGATCGGCTAACAGACATTCTACACCACACAATAGACACAGGTTATTAGGGTAATCACACTGAAAGCGCCTTAGAGTGGAGCTGTAACAGTGACAGAACAGATCTTAGCTGGTCCCACCCTTGGAGCATCTGACAGCCTTGATGAGTGTGTGTCTTAAGTGGATAAAGGATTTCTTGTTAGTTGGCTAGGTTTACATGAATTGTTGAGAGCATCCATAAAAACAGGCTTTTCAGTAAGACACCGAATTGATCTCAGTGAAATTTGGTCAGGGAAGGATATTTTCCAAGCAAAGCTCTCTAATAAAATTGACATTCTAGTGAGCATTAAAAGCAACTTGCAGATAATAAGGTAGGATTATCTTTAAAAAAAAAAAAATATGAGAGCTAGTTAGGTATGGTGGCACATGCCTGTAAATCCAGCACTTGGAAGCCTGAGGCAGGAGCATTACAAGTTCAAGGTCAGCGTGGATTATACAAACAAGACACTGTTTTTAAAAAAAAAAAAAACAAAGCTCTGGGGATTTAGCTCAGCAGCATAAGTGCCTGCCAGGAAAGCACAAAGTAGTGAGTTTGATCCGCAGTACCAAAAAATAAAAAAGGAAAGCATATGAAAGAATGCTGCAGTTCTTAGAAACTGCATGTGAGCAGAAGCTAAGAGGTACAGAAAGTGGTACAGTTTGCTAAAGTCTATCTATGATTTTGAGGAAACTGGTTAGAATTTGCCAGTCACAGAATTTCCAGAAAAACATATTTTTTACACTATTAATGAAGATACTGCAACGTTTTCTAATATACCATCTAATTTCATACTGTAAATTATAATCAGAACCATGCACATAGCTCAAACAAGGCGGACAACCTGTGCTTTGAATAAAACTTTAACTGCAACAGTACTTTGAGATTGGGTCTGCCTTCTAAGGGGTCTACATCAAGTTGTTGTGGATCAGAGGCATCAGCAGAACAAGAAAAATGAACAAATGTCCTTGAAATATGGTGACACAGTGAATTAGAAGAGAACCAAGTAAATGTTGGTAAATGTTTGTTTCTTTTTACACCCATCCTTCCCTACATTTTTGTACTTTTTATAATTTGTTCCAGCTTCAAGGTTTTATGTATTAATTCTACTAGACATATTTTGGCTTATTAAACTGAAATAGAATATACATCTTCGTGTGCAACTGGGATATAGAACAATAAACAACTAGAAAATTAAAAAGTTTACATATTTACTTAAGGCAACTGTAGACCAACCCTGCCTCTGCTGAAATAGTCCCTCAAGATATACAGTGGTTCAGTATTTTATCAAAGAGTGACATATAAAGCTTATTAAGGAAAAGTATTACTAAATGTCCTTCCACTTGCATTTTATTAAGGAAAGCATTTTTACAGGCTCAAGATCTGGGGAACAAAGTCCTAAATCCTATGCCTTCCTTCCAAAATAAAAATTTAAAAAAATAATTGATTTATTGATTTTTTTGTGACTCACTATGTGACTTGCTATGCAGTTCAGGCTAGTTTTGACCTCACTATATAACCTAGGATGGCTTCTACTTTGTGACAATTCTCCTGCCTCTACCTCCTGGTGGCTGTGATACAGGAGTGTGCCAAATGCCTGGCTTAGTTTTAATATATATATTTGTATTATCTGATTATACTGTACTTATATTTCAAAAAGTATGAATTTTTATGTTTTTGAAAACTTGGTCCTAAATAGTACACAGCAGATAGCACAAAAAACAACACTGTGTCTGCACTAGTAAGGTCATTCTGTAATTTATGGTGCCCTCTGTTGAACATGTTCACAACCAAAAGGGAACTGTCAGCAAAATTTGTTAGCAAAACTACAACAGGGAGCCATCACGAATGCATTTGCAAAAATAAGCAAACCATCTTAAGGCATTTCTGAAATTAGGTAGGGTACAATTATTAATTATAAGTAGTACAAATTATGGATATTATCTTTTTTAAGTTAAAAAGCATAAAATGGAGGTGTACTTTTGGCTGACTGTTACGATTTTTCTGTTTTGCAAACTGTTACTTCACATGTCACTTAAGCAGAAGTAGCCTTACCAATCTTGGGAGTGCCATGCCAGTAACTGAACACACAAGTTTGACTGTTTGTCCATAATGGATGTAACCATCTCGGACTGTGAATTCTTCTCCTTCTGATTCATCATCATCCACTATATTGGACAGAAAAAGACACCAAACTATCATCTTTTAGAATTTATTATCTGCCTAGGAAAATGATAAAACTTAACATATCCATGTATCACACTATGAAAAATAATTTTAAGAATTTAACAATGCACATTTTTGTACTCACAGAGGTGAATGTAAAATGCTCCCCACTGCTGTGAACTGGCATGGAAATTACCTCCTTCTACATGCAAGTATCTTGTACTAACTGTCTGAGATCGCAGTCGATTGAACAAAGCCACTTTTGTTCCTGAGGCAATGCATACTGCAAAGAAAAATAGCACCTATTTATGTGCCTGGAACAAGCACAGCAAAGGACTTCTGCTTGACAAATTATGACTGTTCCTTCTTATATTCTAACAATTAACAGATTATGGAGATAGTTTTAACCTGAGAAAGTTTAAAAAAAGTTAACTTATCATAATGTCAAGCTAATGATATATATCTGAATTCACTGACAAGAAAATATTTCCCTGAAGTATCACTAAACGAAAAAGTCATCTAGAAAACACTGTCCACTGGTGGCCCACTACAGAAATTTTCCTTTATATATGATTGCATAGGTGTCTCCAAATATTTGCACACAATCCTATAGAACACATGTGTAGAAAGGGGTCAAGAAGGATGTTTCTCTGATGGCAACTGCCTCTGCTTGTTGTGATTTTAGAGAGTACTACTATCTTCTAAGTGCAGTGGTTCCTTGGTTCACAAATTAGTTCTTTCTATGATTCTGGCTGCAAGTGGAATCAAATTTCCCCATAAAGTCAACACTGCACCTAACCATTTGATGTGGTTGTTGTCTAATTCGATTCACGACCAGAATCATGGGAAGCATTAAGTACGTGAACCAAGGTACCACACTGTACCTCTACTTGTTGTACTACATGAGAACTTATCAAATAGATACTGTGAGTAAATATCTACTTTAGAAGTGAAAACCACATGTATATAAATTAGGCAAATCATCCTGAAAGTGAAATTTGTTCTCTAATATTGATACTAATATTCAATACAAAGTTAGGTGAAATAAAACTTTGTATAGTAGTTTAAGTTGAAAATACCTTCAATACAAGGTATTGCATTCCTGATTTGTGCAACACTCGACCATCCATGACATAGTCTTTCCCTTCACCAACAAGAAAGTAACAGACTTCAATCTGATCAAGATCTCAGATGAACCCCTGACAAAGATTCTCTGTTGAAAAAACAAGCTGTTGCACGAACTCTTTCCCACTAGCTTTCCTCTCTGCACCCTGCACTGGTTTGCACAGCCCAGCTGTAACACATCCTGTGTCACACCCAATCCTTGATACATGATTGCCTTGTCTGCCTTTTTCAAGACCTTTACAAAAGTGGTTTACTAAGAATTCTCCAACCCAAACATGCCCTCTTAGCAGTTTTTCCATTAACTGATAATCTCATTTGGCTGTAAAGCTATACATCTCACTTTATTGTACTTCAAAACTGAACATGGTTGTATACTTGAATCTCTTTATCGTTATTATAATAGCATTGAATGAAATCTGTCTTTTCACTTTTTAGTGTCCAGTTTTGATTTTTGGAGCAATATCAATATATTCACAGTAAATGCATTAAACTACATCAAGGAATAAAATTAGCAAATTATATTTTGTGGAAATCTCTTAATAGCTAGTCTCCTGAATAAATAAATTGCAGGGGGTAAAGTTTACAGATTAAATGTCAATACTAGACAGACAGACAGATAGATAGATGAAATGAAATACCTGGTGACTTTAAATTTTGACTCAAATGAGAATTTAAAGATTGACATTTAGGTAATTTTAAATTTAAATACTAGCTTATACCAAGAAACAGCTTATTATTATAGTTGTCCTACACACTGTTTTTGTGTCATCACAGTATTATGATTACAATAAAAAACATGAGATTTCTATCTTTTAGAGTCACACAGAGACCACATCTGAGGTTTACAATCTACCACGAGGGCAGAGGGAAAGGGACTGCGTAATGCTAATGATGAAATGACACCTGATGGAGCTAAGATTGCTGTTCTAGCTAAACATGAACACACGGATCATGCAACTCCATCTCAGTATTTTCCATGATATTAAGTAAACAATAATAATGACTGAGTAGAACAAAATACACTGACCATAAAAACCCATGTGTTCATAATGAAGTGAAATAAAAACAAACAAAAAAGGTAATGCTTCACTGACCACTTTCAAACATTGCCATTATTCTCTAAGTTAGTAAATAAGCATTTATCCTGTATTTTCACCTACCATCTATATTTTGACTGATATGACAAAGTTTTTTGTCAAAAAAATTCCATTCCAGGTAACAAACGCAGAAGTTAGGAATACAAGGTTTAGAAAATCACCATTTTGCAGCCCTTTATGATGTAACAGCCAGTATACTATCGGCTGCAGGTTGCCAGAGGAGCATTATGGCAGATTACACTATAATCAATCTTTATATGACCAAAAAAAAAAAAAAAGAAAAACAAAATATCCACATTTTAAATGATTGCTGATCCAACAAAATGACCAGTAAATTATTTAAAAGTCTTCAGGTCTAACAACCAGTTCATGGAAAATATGAGAAATAGAGAACATATAACCAGCCAAATCCAGACTATGGAAATTTCACTGAAAAAAAAATGACCAAGTTTCTTCAAAATATAAATGACATTGAAGGAAAAAAAAGGGGGGGGGACAAAAGAAAAGAAATTACAACAGATTAAAATGTGTGGCCCTTGTCAGTACCTAGACTTGAGCATACAAACTAAAATGAAATTAAAAACCAAGAGTTAAAAGATACTGTTGGGACTCGTTAATAAATCTGTCTGGCATTAAGGTACTACTGTCACTTTTAAGATGCAATGACATGACAAGGGCTTATGTTAGAATCACTATTGCAGACATTTTGGTTGAAAAGATAGGATGTTTGAAATTTACATTAAAATATGCTAGCCCTTAGAAGAGAAAGAAGTCTTGGAGGTTATGATGATAATGAAACAGAACTGATAAAACTATTGTAGGTTGGTGGATTGTTGTGTTACAGTACTTTCTCCCTTTTACATAAATTTGAAAATAGTAAGTTAAAACAAAATATGCTAAAATGTACAAGCCAAACAGACACTATGTATCTTTGGTAGTCTAGAAATACTTTGCTTTGGAGATGGTACCCTGCCAGAGCAACCATGTTAAATAAAGAGTGTGTTTAGGTTCTCCAATGTTCTTCCGAAATCCACCTGATGTTTTGCAAAGTGCTCTTGACATTCTTTGTGGGACAGGAAGTACCTTGGACATTTTAGGACATTCGGTATCACTAGCCCAAGACACTGAATGTCAACATTTCCTATCCCCTGGCCACTGTGACAACAGAAGGAAAAATATTCTCATTTTCCCAAATGTAAGGAAATAATTTTGGCTGAGAACCACTTGATTAAACCAGGTACTATCCATTTTTGACTACACCAACAACATAAAGAAGTCAAGAAAGGCCATAACATATTAGTGAGGAGTGAATTTACTATGTTTCAACTTTAAAAAGTGTGTCTTATTAATTCATAGTGGCAAATACGGAAATTAAGAATACATACAGTCAGCATTTTTCAATGACTGCTTCTTTTTGGAAGGTTTGGAGATGACTTTTATCCGCTTGCTGAGAAACACACCAATGTCATCACTGTTGCCATAGAACATCTTTACAGACAACATGAAATGTTTTCTCTTGTCTGAATCAGATATGTACAGTGTCTTGGCTGTGCAATAATTCTGTGAAAGAAAAAGTTTCAATGGCATTAAAATGTTGATTATGTGTCTAAAACCCAGAATGGCTATAACTAGGTTTGATCACGTTTAACAAAATAATTCCAATAGATAGCTCATAAAACCAAATGTAAACTTAGTGAAATTGATCTCTACAGAGAAACTGAAAAATCTTCCTCGTTCAGTCTGCCTGACGTCTGCACTGTGAGGGGTGTGATGAGCCCCCACCATAGAAGTCCTCTTCCTAAGCCAGCATTCCGTGAGAACGAGGTTCCAAAGCCAAAGCCCAATGAGAACTGAGTTGAGCTCAGCCCTTCGGAGCTGGAGATGAACTCGGCCCTAGTGGAGCAGATGCCACTGTGGAACAGAAGCTGAAGCTGGTGGAGGCTGGAAGGCTATCACTACCTTTGTTCCATTCCTCAACTGAAAACCTAGAAAATCCAGGTCCAGCTAGTACATGAAGTAGGGAAAAGCAGGTGGTCCTTGATGCTCAGAAGAGTCTTGCAAAGCAACCTAAAAAAGACTTGGAAGATGAGCAGTGTCCCAGGAGCCACACTCTGATATGACCAAGGACCTGTTCTTCCCTGATAAAGTTGTAGCCAACTTTTCCCATGAATCTGGATGGCAGCTGCCTGACGCAGACTCACTGGGACAAAGCACAGCAGAACAATGCAGAACAAAGTTGAGCTTTTGTTCTGGTGTCAGTAAGGAGCTCATGGGCAAGGATGCTCATTTTGAAACCTCTCCATTTCAGCTGTAAACAAAAAATGACTGAAGTATTATTCACAGTTTAAACAAACAAAAGATTATATGAACCCGTTTACTCTCTTAAAAGGCCATTTTAAAAGTACTTTTCACTGAGAATGGTGCACACCTGTAACCCCAGCAGTTAGGAGGCTGAGGCCTTGAATTCGAGGCCAATCTGTGCTACAAAGTGAGTTCAAAGTCAGTCTGCACTATATAGTGGGACCCTGTCTCAATCAATCAATCACAAACAAAACAAAACCAAAACAGTCTTTTTCTACCCCAAGCACTCCCAGAGGATGAAGCAAAAGGACTGCAAGGTCAGGCCCCGCCTGGGCAATGTAGCAAAACACTGTTTCAAAATAAAAAATAAAGTGCTCACTTCGGCATCATATACACTGAAACAAAAAATAGAAAAGGACTGAGATATAGCTCAACACAAAGGTACTAGGTTCACCTCCAGTACCAAACCCCCAACACAAAACCTTTTTAAAAAGCAACATAGCTTTACCAACCCTGTGTCTGCTTCCCAGAATTATCAGTTATAGTAACACTTTTTTAAAACACAATTTTCATAGTTAAAAATAATTGCTTACTCTTTCTCCAAACAAAAGATATAAATAAAGCCATCAGAATCCAACAGAATTATGTAAAAAGTTTCAGCAGTGGTCCTCCTCAAAAAAGTACACATAATGTTTATCTTTACATATCTTTGAATGCTACATTAACCACTTACTATACATGGCATTAAGGAAAACAGTCTGATTATAAATTAGCATAAACTAGAAAGAGACTTACAAGAGTATATTAATTGCAAAATGGTTAACTTAACCATTTTAATGGTGTAACTCAGCATATAACCAGGAGAAATGAAGTTAGATGTGGTAGAGAAAATGTTTAAGGCATTGTGCCAGTTTATCTGGATGACAGTTCTAGTAATTGAAAACTCTGTTTAAGTTACAGTACTTGCCAAATAGCAAGGCCAATTTCAATTATATATTACAAATTCTAAAAGCTTACTGTTCGCTGTGAGCCCTGTGAATTAGGGAAATACCTACATTTTGACCTCCTTTTTCCAGATATGATAAATGATATTTAAATACAGTGCTAAATATCTAAAATATTTTCTTAACTCAAAGATTAGGCTACACAACTATCTTTACCTCTGTTGTTCCTTGTAAAAAAGCAAAAGCCCATTCATTTAGGAAGTAGCTCATAAGTTTTTACCTTTATAATTTTACTACCAGGCAGTGTTAATAACACATCAAAAAAAAAAAAAAAAAAAACAACAACAACAACAAAAAACCTGCAACAGTTTTTCATTGCTCAATACTGAAGTCATGTAAGAAGCTTTTTAAGTGCCATCTTGACTATTCTACACTACAAATTTTATACAATCAAAAGTTTGGTTTAAGTTTTGAGAGGCTTGGCTCTGCAAAAGACAAAATAGAAGGAAACTGCACTAAAATGGTAAAGCTTAAAATGAGCATTTAGCTTTGAATGCCAACATTAATGGATATGATCTCTATCAAAAAGAGAAAACACTGAAATACAGCATCACCAAAATACATCAGTAGACAGGTAAGGAAAAAAACCAGAGAAGCTAACTGAGACTTTATTTTGTTTAGAAAAAACATATGTATAAATATCCCCCTCAAAAAAACAGAAAATATATCCCTATCTACAGCTTATTCACAAAAATGAGATCTGGGATAACTTTAATGGATCTATCTATAAACAAACAAACAAATAAAGCCATTGACCATAAACTTCAGATTTCAGAAGAAAAAAGAAAATACTCATTGATTCAGAAAATACCAGGTTCAGAGAAAGATTTGTGCTGCTATTGTTCAGATAACTGAATACAGAGGTCTTGTGCTCTGGGTAAATGACTTGGGGATGACAACATGCAATGTATGTACCACTGCTACCTCCAATTGATGTGTTTTTATTTTATATTTTATTTTTTGAAACAAGGTCTAACTATGCAGTTCAGGCTGTCCTTGAGCTGAATTTGTAGCCTACACTGGTCTCAAACTCACAAGGATCTTCCTTCCCAATGCTGGGATTACAGGCATATGCCACCATGCCTGGTACATATTTTGAAATTTTTAGGTTTTTTTCTTCTTTTTCTTTTTCTCCTTGAAATAGAATGCATTTAGAAAAAACAATAAATGTAACAATACATTTCTCTGGAAAACAAAATTAAATTAGCTTTGTTAGAGCAAAAAAAGAAAATATCAGGTTCTAAGAGAATATCCAACAAAACAAAACAAAAACTAAATTATAATTGCCCTGCCATATTAAACTGTTCAAGAAGCTAACAGAATTCTAGAACAGAAAATGGCATTTGATAGTCTCTCTAGGAATGAACCTTCTTTAAACTTTAAAACAATCCTTTGTCCCGGTGTAACTGTGCGTGCCTATAACCCTAGCACTTGGAGAAGCTGAGACAAGGGGCACAGCACAAATCTGAGGCCAGCCTGTTACACAGTGAGTTCAGGGCCAGCCTAGGCTACACTATGTAACAAGACCCTATCTCTAAAAAATCCCCCCAAAAGAGCACTTCTTTGAAGATTCTCAGAAAATAAAAACATTGCCCTGAAATAAAGGATATCATATCTAAATGCTGCAAAAGTAATACTGTAGATATATTTGAAATACAGAGACGTTGGTAAGAGTATACAATTGTCAAAAACACAAGTGTGAGAATTAGGGAAGTAATCCGTGCTACATAGTTTACCTCGCCACAACACAGAACACATAAAACTGAGGGAAAAGAGTACTTACCAAATTGAATATCTTACTAAATGAAATCTCAGAACCAACTTTAGGCCAAATGTCATACCATAAATTTAATTATACTAGATTGTTTGTAATATTTAAAATTAGTTGAACATCAAATAATGCAAAATAAATGTTCCTGATTTGTTTTTTAACGATATCCAACTGTACCACTCAATCACCAGAGAACTGAAATAAAACAGTACAGTATTTCCATGTGTGAAAGGAGGGAACACAGTAGACAAGTGCTAACTGCCACTTCTGCAATGTAGGTTACACTACGTCCTTATTCCTTTATGCTCCCAACACATGACTATGCTGTTCTTGCTGCCAGGAATGCCTTCTATGGACTCTCAGCCAGTCTGATTTTACACAAAGCATTTTAACAGCATTTATTACTAAAATGAAATATTAACATTTACAGACTATTAGTAGATATTTTAAATAATAAGTGCTCAAGTTCTTATGCATTTTATCTTCTGCCATCTCTAGCCTTAAATGAAGTATATTACAGTAGAAGATTCAGAAAGATACAATGGAGGACAGCAAGAGGATCTTCATGCTGAGCAACTCTTAAGGGTACAGAGTTTAAACACAGTGTTACTGTGCCTGATGGTAATAGGTTGGTTTATTTAGTGTACTTCCCTGGAAGGTAAAATTATTGGAAGCCAGAACTGGCTCAAGCAAGCAATGAAGTTAACTAGAACAGTTAAATACACCAGCAGCTAGTACTCACTACCCATCTATATTACACATTCATACTACCAAACATGCAGGTGTGTAGCTTGCAATTAAGTAGCTAGGGATGTTCTACATCACAGGAAAATAGAAGAGACAAGGCTAAGATCTATTAGGTCAGCCCAGGTCAGCCCATGTTATGGTCTGAGTGTGGAAGTCCCCCTCAAAGCCTCATGCTGTCATTGAGGTTGGCTTCTAGAGTTTGTGAGTGACTCCTGGTCCAATACTGGGATTATGAGTGTGAGTGCTACACCCAAGTGGATGTGATCTACATACAATATAAGGGACAGAGTCTTCTCTCCTCCCCTTCTGCTCTTGTTGCTTGTGCTGCCTTCTGCCACCACAAACTTGTTCTTTGCCATGAGCCACTCTGCCTTGGAGCCAGCTGATTATGCACTGAAACATTCACAAACTGTGAGCTAAATGAACCCTTCCTTCATTCCTTCCTTTTGATGTTGGGTATTGTGTCCCAGCAATGAGAGAAGAGTATCTAAGACAGCCCATCACTTACATATACAGTATTCTTTAGTTCACAGATGGTGACTTAGGCCTATATGTGGCTTCACTGCTCTACTTCCTTTTAAGATAAACAATCTTTACCCCAAACTTAACAGATCTGAAGAAGGCTGAAACTAAGGCTTAGTATTCCCTATAAAAAACTATAAGTAGAAGAGGGAGCACAAATTCCATAGCTCACCACCTTTAACACTACCTCTAATGCTTATTCCTACTGTCAAATACAACACAACTATGACAGCTATTAGTACAAGGTTTCATGTAGTCACTGAAATTAGAATCATTTTCTAGATAAATTCTAAATGAGAATCTTCAGTACTAAAGGTTGACACAGTAACTAGTTTGTAAATTTACAAAATACAATTAGTAAAACAGTTGATAAATTTCTTTGTCTCACAAAATAATTGAAGACACTCTCCCTTAAAAGTCTGAGCATAGCTAATTGTGGCTATTCTTGAGCTCACTTATGCAGCACATACATTAACATGACTCTTCCTGACTATAGCATAGTTCTGCTCCATAGTGTTAAGTAAATTCTGATTTTTATAACCCATATAAATCCTTCTAAGAATCTGTCATTTACCACTGCTTCTAAGATGAAGATAAAGACAGCACAGTAAATCCTAATTGAGTGATGCATTTTCACTGCTATTTTAGTATTACTTTCCTGTCAGAAGGAGGTAAGTGATTAGTAATAAATGATTAGCCTCCAAGAGAAATCTGATTTACAGCTTGCTAAAGTCACTAGCAAACTATAGGAGTTTGCTGCATGCCACCTTTAGATGTCAACAAGATGGGCTCCATGGATCATGAGCAGGTCCCAGCTGTTCCAGAGGGTACTTCTGGCTCTCATTTATATAGACAAGAAACTGTTATTAATATCCTTAAACAAACAAACAAACAAAACCCCACACAGTGAACAGAAACTATATGCTGGTATCACAATGCCCCCTTTACAAGGAACCAGGAATCTTGATTTACCTTTCCTTCCAAGTTCAGTTGCTGCATTTCTTGGTCACTATTTCCTATTCCAATAAATGCACATGGTTGAGACTCTTGCTCGGAACAACCATCACGTTCCATTTGTTCTTTTTTTTTCTTCCATCCACTGCCCATAAGATATACACATGGCGGTGGGCAAAAAAACCTGAAGAATAATGTGGAAAAAGACCCCAAAACACAAAGTAATTAGATTCAAGACATTTCCTTTTCTTTACTATTTGAAAATAAAATCATGCAGAAATGCACTGAAGTGGTACCTGTGGAAAAACTGTGGTAAAGCCTTCTATAATGGAAATAAACACATGCATAAGATAGAAATCAACTTCCACATCGCCTCAAGTAAAATTCTAGAGTTAGTGTCTATGTTTAGAATAGAGAACTTCTCTTTAAATTCTCACACAGCTCAAAAGTCTGCACTACTTCAGAAGCACAATGTATAAAACATAACAGCATCACAGACTATGTCATTGCTAATTTTACTAATTAAGGCTTACTCAAAGTAAGTGATTAGTTAATGCCCTTATTCTTATGTGTATCACATTTAACTTTATTTACCTGGAAAAAAAAACATTGGAGGAATCCCTCAAAATGAATCACTGGAGTATGAACTCTCCAAGGGCACACTATGTTTTGTGCACCTTTTCTCAACACATGGTGCACTGTATGTGACTGAGAAATATTTTGCTAAAAGAACAATACATTATTTCAACTCAGACTACTAACAGGTTTGTTTTGTTAGTTCCAAAAAATACCCTCACAAATTCTTCCCGCCTAGAATGGCTTCCTTATAATCTGTCTAGCAGTTAAAACAAAACAAAACAAAACAACAAAAAAAAAAACATTTCAAAGTCTAGCTCGAGCTCCATATTTTTCACAGTTCAGACCATAAATCTACTCCCTATGTAGGGTATAATTCTCTTTTGCTCAATTATACCTGATGTTTATGTCATATCTCCCCATGGAGCCTGAAAACTCGAAATTCCTACAGTAGTCAGGTAAGTAACATAAATGAATGACTAGGTGTACAATAAAGAAGCAGGAAGACCCTTTAATTACCCAAAGACACAGGTTCCTTTCTCTCTTTCTTAAAAAAAAAAAAACAGCACTCATGATAATTCCTACTTTTTGTACAGCTATGAATAAGGAAACATGTTTCTTCTGTTAATCCTACTATAAGAAAAACAAGGATTTAAGTACAACGATAATGAGCCCCTGGTGCATGGCTCTAATTATAAGAAAACACAGAGAGTGGCCTGATGTGTGAATATATACTCACTCACATTTATGGGCCTACCTAGAGATGGTCACATCACCTAACTGCTCAACAGACTTCTGAAATAAAATTTCATGTGAAGTTTCAGTTTTAAAATCTGGCAGCTAATACATACTCTGAACCCACTGTGCAGAGTAAAAGAAAAACCACTGATGTGCATGTAAACATCTGTGCATACACGTATACACAGTCACCCGCAGGCTCTGGCCTTCCAAATAGTTAAGAGTGGTCAGGCTTCACCCTGAGAGCATACTAAAGTATCTACAGAACTGACTCCAACTACACAATCGTACACTTCAACCCTAACCTGACTACTTTGTAAGCAAACTTGCATCTAACTTATTGAGAAGTGAGTACACTACTTAAAATTGATTAGTTCTCCAAATTATTCATTACTTTTCAAGTATGTACCAGACACTGGGACTGTAACAGTAAAAATAAACCAAACAAAAAACCAATAAAATTCTTCATGGAATTTATATCCTAATAGGAAAGACACAACAATAAGTCAAATGAGTGAAATAATGTGTATACTTTATTGGGTTGATAATAAGAACTGGAGTGGGGGTAGAAGCATGCACAGTGTTCCTGAATGTGAATTGCCTGGAATGGTTAAAGGACAGCTTGCTTAAAGAGGTGACTTTTAAGTCCCAGTCTCAAGCCACATGGATACCTGTGATTAGAGCATTTTGACAGAAAAAGAGCAAGTACAATGGCTCTGAGGTATTACCAAAAGTAGAGAAATACACTAGAGTGGAGGTAGAGCAGAGAAGGAAGGAGATCAGTAAGAGACAGAGTTGGAGTTAACAGGTAAATAAACCAAGTGGGATCTACACATGAAACAGAACAAGAAGCTGATGCAGTCTTCTCCTCTATATCTAAACCACAGGGAAAAGAGCAGCTTTCATGCCTGCATGCTCTCAACAGGGCCACAGATACAAAGGTCATAGCCAAGGTGGTGGGCCAAGCTCCAATTCACTCAGGTTTGGAGGGATGCCTGATTAGCTGGGCTACTTTTGGAGATGGTTGAAGTCTACACCATGGATCTTTCTGGTTTCTAACGCTGAGAGTCACTCAATGCTTACCCTGGGCACAGTCAAATACCTAGGCTGACACACTCTCAGGGCACTAGGAAGACATCAGTCTTAGAAACGTGTGTCATACTAGTATTTTCTTGAACACTGACATTAAGACTCCTTAGTCAACTGGCATACTAGTTGTAAACTTGAAGAGCTGTGCTTTGGTACTATATAGTATAAAATGTAGTAGTCAAATCTGTGAGTTATCTCAAACCATAATTTTATTTCACATCAAAAATATAAAGAGTTGAAACAACAAAAGAATTAGTGCTGTCTTTCTTAAGTACTGTGTCAAAATACATGAATCTACAAGACATAAAATTAAGACAAGGAGCTAAAAATCCTTTATTCAAAACATTGATCAAGGTTCTATCTTGGAAGGACTTGCTGATTGTGTAGTAAGTGTAAAAAAACCAGATATTTCAATAGCCTATGAATTACTTTGTGTAACATCAATTCCATAATTATTCAAAGAAAGCTGTGATACAAGAAAACAGTAAACCCAAGAGAATCTAAACATTGAGGTTATTTCATTAAGGCGCTGGTGAAATTCCAATACCACTATTCCCTAAAAGGCAGTGAATGAATCAAATTATTATTTCCACAGACTTCCATGATAACAGTCATCATAAAGAGAAGAAAAAGATAAGCATATATACAAAAATGGAAATCAGCCAAAGAAAATCAAGGGGAACAGGAGTAAGAATAAAAGGTCATATAGTTAAGGAAGAAAAATTAAAATATATCTCTACAAAGGTATGTGAAGCCTATTTATAAAAATCTGGATAGTTTGTCAATATTTACTAAGTGGTCAAAAATTTGACTAGTATGGGGTTTTTTACAGTTTAATCGCTGCTATAAAAAGATTTCTATGAGAACCTATGTTGCCCTTAGTTTTTCATGTTTCCCCACAGCTTGAAGCATTCTGCCACTTGGTGGCGATATGCACACATTTAATATTTTATTCATTTCCCAGTTCAATCAGTATTTATTTTCGGAGTTTAAGTCAACTTTTTTCTCAAATCCTGACAAGAGCTATGGAGTTTTCTTATAGATTCAAAGAAAGCTTTTTACCCAGTCCAATATATAAAATATGTGGCTTAGACAAATCCAAACTCATGTTATTTACATTATGAGTACCTTTGCCAAATCATTACTGATGATTATTTAGTTTAAAAGGACTATAGGCACTTTTTCACCAGTTACTCCAATTAACGGGACTCTTAATGTGACTTCAGAATTACAGTCTAAGTATCTAAATGGCTTCATTAATGGCTTCAACAGCACCACTATTGTTACTTAATTACTTACCCTGAGACAAAGTTGAATGTTAATGTCGGCATATTTATATTTCCTCTACAGAAAATAATCTTGTGAAAAGTCTATTTTGTAATTTGGGAACATCTTCAGTGAAAAATTCAAACTAACCACTAAAATAAATGGGATAATTGATGTGCTATGCAAGTAGGTTATTAGGCACAAAAGTTGGTAACAAGAATGATTCAAATTTTCAAATGAGTGTTTTTAGCACTATTCACTGGAGTTATTTTAGATGCTACAGGGACCTGGCCAAAAGCATGGTGGTCATGTCCCCGAGTAACCTCAAGCGTTAAGCCCTAGCTGCTCTTCACAGAGATTGAACCTGGTGGGCAAGAGAGCACATAGTTTTTTCTGTCATTGTACAGTCCTCAGAGTCAAGACTGGCAGCTCCGTCCTCAAAGCAGCCTGCCAGTTATCAGAGGCCTGGCCTAGAATTTGCAATCCCTTACTGTTAGCACTGTTTAAAAACTAAGAAAATTCAATGGGTTTCCTCCTTTGTCACAAAGCAATTCACGTTTTCTTTGGAATTTTCAACAATATAAAAAGGTATAAACATTGGAAAATAATTATTCTAGCCCAGTATCATTTTTTCTTCATATTTTTGAGGCCACAGTATAAATTCTAAAGTGTGTGTGTGGCTGGGGTCATGGATTGGATACACTATACCTAGTAATAGAAAGAAATAAAAAATAAAGGCTACCTCAATAAAAGAAGCTATAATGGCTAACTTGATAATCCACTGCAGCTCTGTATTTATTTGTATTTGACAGTGATTAAAACAAAGAGAAACCTTAACTGGACTTTAACATTTTCCAAACAGATCCTTCCCTTTTATTACTTCATTGAGCCTCAGTAAGTCGTCATACTACTAAATGACATAGTGACTTTTTAAAGTTCCTTTTGAAAAAAAAGGTTTCTTTTGCATAGCACCTGGCACCAAACAGGTGATTAGAAAAAAATAATGAATACAGCTCTCGAAAAACGCAGCTTTGAAACTCCAGAAAAGAAAATGGAGCACCTGCCACATTTCAAGCCATGTGATAACCATACCTCCTGATTCAACTGGATCCAACTGGATCCAGGCAAGTCTCACACAGCCAATGGTGAATGACACGATCCTGACAAGTTTACAAGATCTACGCTTTTCAGGTATCTTTACTTCCTCAAGTCTTCCATAGCTAACCAATGGAAGGCTGTAACACTTAGAGCTATGTGGACAGAGAATCCATGTGATGATATACTCAAGAATTTTTTTCACTAATAATATTATAGGTAGCTGAGTTAGATAGAAATATTATGGGCAGTCAGGAGGACCAGCTAGCTGTCTTGTGACCTTGAAGGAGACAGATACCTTCCACTATGGGCCAGACCTCAAGACAAAAGGCAAAACAAATGCAACTACAACCTAAGTATAAACATCAGGGACTGATATTCTAAATAGGTATAGATCACCTTGAGGAAGCCAGGAGCCACCATCTATCTCAACCTCCTACAAGCAGAGTCACTGCTCTGTAAGAATGCCTGCTTACTTGGGGCTCACTTCCCCATTTGCTCATTTCCCCAACTTGATCAATTTTACCTGAACAATTAATCTTATTGGTTAGCCACAGTTCTGTTCCACCTCATGCCCCTTGCTTTGTGAGTTCCCAGTTTTCACCATCTTGGACTCGTCTCACCTCATGGTTTTGCTCTATAACGTCCCTAGAAAGGACAAAGTCTTTGGCAACCCACGCAGGACCCTTCTTTCTTTCAGATAGAAGCTTTCTTTCAGTAAATATATTCTGCTCTTAACCTCCATTGTTCCTAAAATTCATTCCTCAATTTTAGAGAACATGAATTCATACCAGACACCCAGTAGGTTGGGAATTTCGGTCCCCTATATCAGTAACAATATATTGAAATGGATGTGTAATCTTTTTTAAAATAGGGAAATACAGTAAGTAATTTGGAACTAGTCTCATGTGTAATCTTTTTTAAAACAAGGAAATACAATAAGCAATTTGGAACTAGTTTCAGGAATGCCAATCTTTGTTTCAATGATTCTAATATGAGCATGTTTAAAGCCTCAATCTTTAGTTTCTCCAGCCAAAGAATGGGGATCAAAGTATGTCTATTTTCCAAGATTATTCTGAGAATTAAAGTTTTTAAATACTAGTAGAACATTTCTCTGGTTTATAAGTAGAGCTGATCTAGAAACTTCCACTTTTATATTCACTAATAAGAGCCACAGCTAGTCTTTTAGATCTGTCTTTTAAGGATGACGGTACTGACTCTTGCTTTGCTTAGAAAACAAATAACCTGCTACTCACACACACTAAATTTCATTATTAAAAAACCCCTCAATTTCCAATATCAACTTTATGAAAAAAAAAGGCAGATTCCTTAATTTGGTATTCAATGTTCCAAACTTCTTCCTATATATAACTCTAAACCAGTGAGCTAAATTTTATCAGTAAAGTAAAACAATTAGAAATTTTGTAAACCTGAATTACAGCAGACTAAAAAATAATGCTTGGAAGAGAACACTATAAATTTTAAATATCATTCATATTTGTTCATCCTCTTTGTGGACAAAAATTATCAATTAAATAGCTTCACCTTCTTTTCAGCTCAGATTTAAATGACTCCAAGAAAGAATTCTTAATTTTATCCTAGCTGTAAATTAATTTAGTTATATGCTTAGTTTCTCTATTCTTATACATATGCTGAAGGTTTCCTTTTTGTTACAAACTCTTTAAAAGATTCCAGACCCCAAACTTGCATTTTAAGTCCTCCTCCAACTTTAGTTTGGTGCCTTTCTAGCTAATCCCAAAAAACATGTGATCTTTCCATACATGCAGGTTGTTAAATATTTAACCAAAATTTGCCAAGTCAGTAGGACCTGATGGCCACACAACTGTAATTCCAGCACTCAACACTCAGCATTCATTCCTGCTGAAGCAGGAGGATCCTAAATTGGAGGCCTGCTGGGCAACTTAGTGAGATCTGGCCTCAAAATAAAAAATAAAAGAGCTGGGAATGTAGGTTAGTTGAAGGCCCAGTGGGTTCAATCCTCAGTACCAAGAAAAAAAGAAAAACAAGAAACAAACAAAAACAGGCTTTCAGAAAAACTCAAGAAAATTTCAGGAACCAAGTGAAAGGAACAGGGTGGATCTCAGTTGTAGATTATGTGATTACTAAAACAGAGGCTTTGGGTTCACTTCCCAGCATCCACCCCCCTAAAACAGTAATAATAACAAAATGCCCAACTGCACCATAATAATTATTATTTTAGGACTGGAGATGTAGATTAGTAGTAGAGCACTTACACAGCATGCATGCCTTGTTCTAGGTTTGATGCTCTCACTGTAAAAACAAAACAAAATAATCCAGCAAAAATTCGCAATCTCTCTCTCTCACATGCGTGTACATATACGCTGGAATTTATAAGATATCATGAGAAATAATGTAAAGATTACTGTTGTAATTTAATTTTGGCCAATTAGCTTTATAGATGATATCTGTAACACCTACATTCACATGGTATGAAAATACAAATGCAGTTTAAAAAAAAAAAAAGGCAGGGTCTTCCCATGGTCCCCAGACTGTTCCAGAACTATTAGACTCATGGAGATCCATCTGCCTCTGCCTCCTGAATAGGAATCTGCAGGGGGATTGTGGTTTTTTAGCAACCAACACAGATTTAGAGGGGGTTGCAGGTAAGGACAGAGAACCTTTTCTTTACAGTAGCTCCAAAGCTCAATTCTTTCTTGAGTTTGTTTGTTTGTTTATTTATTTTATTTATTGGTATTGGGAATGGAACTCAGGACCCTGCACATGCCAGGCAGACATTATACCATTGAGCTATATCCCTGGCCCTTGAGTTCAATTTAGCATTAGGGTTTGTTTAGCCTTTTCCTTTTAAAAATGCTAAACAAACAATATTTTCTACCAAAAGAAAAGCTTCTTTCTGAGGCAGAGTCTTACTCTGTCGTCCGGGCTGGCCTAGAACTTGAGCTTCTCCTGTCTCAGCCTTTCAGTGCTGGGATTTCAGGTGTGCACAACCATACCTGGCAGGAAAATGTCTTTGTGAATGAGCTAATACATTGCTAAAATACTTGGGAAAACAGCTCTAAAGAAAAACTTTAGATTATTTTGCTATGTAAAATCAGGGATTTAGACAGATTATTTTACTAAATTCTCCTTCTGTATTAAGTATGCCATTTTGTTTCTTTCCTTCAAGAGATAAATATCCCCCCCAAGCCATTTTTAGTTTCATTTTGTATGAGACAAATTAACTGGGTAATAGAAACCATGCTCAGACATGAATATTAATATATTATTTGTAAATTCATGGAATAACTATAATTATCCACTATAACAAAATCAGCAATCTTACCTTTTTTCATTTCCATATGACTTCTGTGCAACTTTTGCATGAAGAATAAGTACTGTTTGATCCCCTCGCTCTTTCAAATAATTTCGCATAGCTTCCCTAAAATCAAATATAAATAGTATAATTATAGAGGTGAGATTTTGTATGAAATCTCTGGTTTTACATTCTGTAAAATAAGGAATGCTTATGGATATATATATTTTTTTGGTCCCAGAAATCGAACTCATGACCTCATGCTTGCCAGACAGGCGCTTATGCTGCTGAGCCAGCCCCACTTACGGATATTTTTAATGCAAAACTTAAAAGACAAAAACAATGAAGGAAAATGAACCTGTGAATTAAGTTTAAAGCATAGTATACAATGGGATAATAAATGCTTACTTTCAACTCTGTATTTTCTTCTTTAAAAGAAGAATTATTCTTTAGAATCTATCATGTCACTCAAAACACAATTAGACTTCTAACATAACTTCAATCAACACTTACATTTCTAATGTGGTTTTACTATTTTTTGTAACTTTATCTTGCTATTTCCCCTTCCCCTTCATCCAGCTATTTCAATCAGTATTTTTCACTGAATACAAAAGCCATAACAGAACACAAATCATCCCATCTGTTATTAAGTGACTCTAAATGACAATCCTATGTAAGGACTCAGAAAGGCCTATCATTTATATACAAACATAGTTATCTCAAAGATTTTAACTGAATGCACAAAATTTAACAAAGCCTAATTGAAATTAGTGAAAAAGTGGATTAAACTTTGAAAAACTATTGTCTTTCAAGTACAAACTATTCTAATATTTATTAAGCAAATAGTCTATAAAATGTCCAATATGGCAAATATATTTATTCATCCAATTATTTAATATTATTTAGTATAAAGAGAATAAACAACACAAATCAAAACTGTAACAAGACTGAATCAGAAATTGAATTCTTCAGGTGTTTTTACACATCACAAAATTTAAAAGATGCTTCAAAGATAATAACCAAGAAACTGTTTTATTACATTTAACTATTCCATTTATATTATAAAAACAAATATAAAATATAAAGTGGACAGCCATATACAATAGCACTAAATTATTAAACACGGGAATTCTCCACTTGTATCCCTATGAAATAAGGGGCCTCAGGCAATCATTCACGCGGCCTTGATCTGGCAACTGGAGATAACCACCTTCCTAACACAGGTAACCTGAAGGACTAATGAGACAACCCAGATGACAGCATTTATATTTACTAACTGAAAAATCTGCTCCCTGCAAGACATGGCAAGTAATACCGGGATACAGATGGAGAACTAATCTCTATGCTGGAAAAAGAACTCAAGGTCCAAATAGTAATGAAATACAAGGATCAACAAGTATGCACCAAAAAAGCACCAAAATAAGAGAACACTAACGGAAAGGAGGAGATATGTGATAAACGACCATGTGCGAGGAAGAGTTTCTTCAATAGGAAACAGGAGGAGGAGAGAATAAGGCATTCCAGGACTTGAGAGTAACATGTGTAGTCAAGGCACCATTAACCCTACACACCAAGCGGCTAAGTGAGCTCTCAGCTGAGGAGTGAGTAGTCACCACACAACAGCTAATGTTTCCTGAGTATCTACTATGTGCCAGGCCCTGAACTTAGCACTTTAAATGCTGTACTTAACTTCATAATCCAAAAATACTGTTAATTCTACTCTGATGGACTTGTGCAAGGTCCTGCAATGAACAAGTGGTGGTGGGGAACTGAAATAAACTCTGCAAGATTCTTAAGAGAACTACAGCCCTGACCAAGACTGACAAGATGGGTAGAGTCAAATTGTGAAACGCCTTCAAAATTGGACACTGGGCTGGGATTTAGCTCAGTGGCATAAGCACCTGCCTTGCAAGCAGGTGGTCATGAGTTCGATCCCCAGTACTGATAAAAAGTTAAAAAAAAAAAAAAAATTGGACATTGGTAAACTTAAAATGCCAAGTATAAAAGTTTAAGCTAATTTAATTATCACTTCATGAGATGATAAAAATGGTAGTTTATAAAATGTTAAGATATTTGTGGAGAAAATTAGAACATTTACTAAAGAATAAAAGAAAGAAAAAAATTCACCTTTTAGAGAAGATCATCATTCAGTTCGTTCTTGACTCATCACAGAAAAACATGCTGTTGAACCCAGATTTTCAATCTAACTCAGAGACTGAGATTAGATTGAATGAGAGGGCTTGAGAGTTTCTTAAACACATAGGTTCTTTTTGAGTTAGTTACTTATAGAGAAAGTCGCAGAAAGCATACAAACAAGCACACTGTAGAGAGGCTGTCACGCTAAAGAAATACTAGAAGATAGCAGGGAGAGAAGACTGGAAAAACTTAAGAACTCTTTCTATATTTTGTTTTAGGAGAAGCAGCTGTGTTAATACTTTCTATTGACAAATGTCTACTCTGAAGTACTCTTGATAGCTCTGCTTCAGAAACATTCAAGGCTGCCAGAAACAGCCACTGACAGTTTAAGAGAAGACCCTAGGCTGCAAAAGAGAGATACTCTGTTATCAAGTGAAGCTATGAAAGTACATGAAATCTCCGAGAAGAAAACTGCAGTGACAGAAAAATCAAGAAGAAATGCATAAAAGGAAATGGAGAATTGGTTACAGGATGGAGTTTCCAGCAAATATGGGGAACTAGGTTTGTTCTCCAGCCCTGCAAGAAAGAGGGAAGGACTGGAGGTAGAATGGATGCCAGTCAGGATAGAGCATAAGGAGGAGTAGAAGTCTAAAAGAATTTATTTTACTTATGGGTAATAAAAGAGGAATAAATATTTGGGAATATCCAAAAGGAAATGGAAAAGGAAGCTGACAACAGACAAGTAAAATGAAGATTTGTACTGAAGGACAGTTGATGCCGGAATAGAAAAGTAATGGTGCAATTCCCACTAACACTCTGCGGACACAAACAGAGGGTGTGCTCCCCAACCTGCGGGAGAACAGTGATAAGCCATGGAGATGCGCTAAGTTATGTGATAATCAAGAGTTCAACCTGCATTTTCTTTTAAAAAAGGCAAAGCCAGGAGAAAGTCGGTAATCACCTGACAAAATCCATGTCATAAAACTTGAAAGGTCACTGTACAGATAATAGAAAGTAGGAGAGAAAAACAAAACAAAACACCAAACAAACCAAAAAAAACCCTCTCAAGCCACAAATGAATTTCTCAAAGTAAATTCTATCTGCATTTATAATCTCTATTATAGCATTCAGCAACTATAGTACTTGATTGCATGTTCATCAAGTTTCACGTTTACTTTTCTTCCCAAAGAGTCTATAAAGACTTTAAGGGCAGAAATAATACATTTGAGGCAGTCAGAAACCCTTTTAGCTCAGTGGCACAAGCACCTGCCTGGCAAGCACAAGGTCATGAATTCGATCCCTGGTTAAAAAAGAAAAAAGAAAAATAAATCCTTTCTACAAAGAATATATTAACTACAATTATTAAAAGAGCTAAAACTAAGTAATCACTGTGCCAATACTGTTCTAAACAAGTACTAACATAACCAACAACCTTGGGTGTGAAACAGTAATACAAAGCAGACTTTAGAAAAGGGAAAATGTTAAATAACTTTGCTAAATCTGGCTCTTGAGGACAAAATTATACTATCCAAAGTTTAGCAATGGAAAGAGCATAATGCTATGAAACAAAGAGGAGCCTGAATCTTAATATGTTATTAAACCTTGACTTTTTACCTCTGTAAATTAAAGTCAGTTACCATGGAAAAAAATTAAATTGTTAACCCCACACCCATTAACATACATACAGGCAAGTGTTTATAAACTCCAGTTACTACTTTTATTTCCTTAGAATGGTACTTTTATCTCTTAATACAATAACTACCCAGGATACAGGGAACCAATACTTTCACAAAAGGACCAAGGTGTGAACGATTAGGTATATCTGACTTGCAAAGCACAAGTTCTGCAAAGTCTAGAGTGAGAAGCACACTTGGCCTTCTTCCTCATGAAGGCGAAGATTCACCGAGGGTCTATCCTAGGCACTGGGCACTGAAATGGTTTTCCCCTCCTGTTATCAGCAATTAGGATAATCTCAGGATGTCTATAATGAATTCAGGGCTTTCCTTGTGTCTGTCAAGTGCAGACTTAGACTGTAAACTTCTGACACAGTAATTAGAGCCTCAAGCTAATAATCATTAATAATAGCTCTCTGTGATAGGAATCTGCCAAGTAGCCTCTTTCAGGAAGAAAAATACAATCTGATTTATTAACGCAAAATTAAACATTAAGAATAATGTTTTCTGGCAATTAGCACTTGGTAAATGACTTTTTGCACCTGAAGTACTCATTAAAAATAGATGGTATGCTCTAAAGAAACACAAGCAGTAAATCTTATGGAACAACAGCTTATCTAGAAACTTCAGAAATCTCAGCTGGACTTCACATCCATACTACCAAGGCACAGGCTTTACATCGACTCCCTTCTCCTCCCCACAGAAAACCCTCAGAAACTACCCTATCTTTTGTCAGATTCTGGCAGTTTTATCTTTTATATTCTCAAATGCTTCTAGTCCAGCTGCACAATTGTTATAGTTTAATATGGAGAAGGTCCAAGGAAATTTTACTGAAATTAGGTAAAGCAAAGTGAAACCAATTCTTTCACTGCAAGAATATTCAGCTATAGACAAATTTTAAAATGATATTTATGCAGTGCATTTTCCATACTATTAAAACTATTATTTGTGTCCCCCCACTCCCCCAAGCTTTCTGAGAAGCACTGGTTCCTCACAGGCTAGTTTTGCAAATGACAATCCAGGGATAGGACCAAAAGTCAACGAAATCTTAAGGCACTGATAATATTGATGCAGAATTATGGCTAGGCTGCCTTGCTAAAGTTTGTAACTATTGTTATCAAAGCCAAATAACAGTAAGAGTCTTATTTCTAGGGAGAAGCATACAAATCTCATTTCTGCTCCTGTGATAATAGTAGAAATGTCCTTGAATACAAGTTTTCAGTAGAAACATAGGTAAACTGCCACGAACTCTATCAAACACTTGAAATTAATTCTTTTAAGTTCTAACAAACTCCAGTTTTTTCCCCTTCCAAAAAG